GCTGCGGTCCGGTTGGACCAGGAGGGGCGAAGACGTCTGGGCCCGCGCGGCCTCAGCTCAGCACGCAGCGTTCGCGCCGGCTCAGCTGCCGGCTCAGCTTGCGGCGCCGCTGCTCCAGGCCGCGTTCCAGGCGCTCGTCCTCCTCCAGGGCGCTGGGAGGGATCGGGTTAAAGTCAGCCCCAGTGTCGGGCCCCACACGCGGGCTGCCCCCCGGGGTCACGACCGAGCACCCCTCAGAGTACACCCCTGGAGCCTTCCCGGCTCCCAGAGCATCCTGGTCCCACTTACGTCCGCTCCTTCTGGTCCAGGTCCCGGACCAGCTCGTCGCGCTGGTTCACCAGCGACACCAACTCTTCCAGCAGCAGCTGCTCTCGGTGCTGCTGCGCGGCCGTTTTCAGCCAGTCTGAGGGCAGAGGAGTCTGGGGGTCAGGGGGTGCCCGCCCCTGCCCTGTCCTACCCCCCAGCCCCTGTGCCCCATCTCCCACCTTCAATGGCCAGCATGGCCCGCAGCTCCCGGCTAAGCAGCTCGAACCTCCGCTCCAAGTCCTGCTCTTCGATGCTGGGGGGTGGGGTGCCAGGTTAGGGAAAGGGGAATGGGAGGGAGTGACCAGGGTTTTGAACACTCCCTGGCCCCCATCCCACCTGACCGCCAGTTTCCAGTGAGGGCTGGGCCAAGGGCAGAGTTATACCCCAGTCCCCCCAGGGAATTATCTCTTGTTTCAACTGTTCTCCACTTGCTGGATATTTATATTGTCTCCTCCCCCAACCCAACCCTCTTTTTTAAAAATAAGAAACAACCTGGAAGGATTATTTGGATGAACATTACTCATAAACAGCAAGTATTAGACTAAAATTGTTTTGAAAAATGATCCAAAATGCAAAAGGGAGGCAGAACCACCTCTACCATGCAGGACTATGATGGCAATGATGGCAGAGAATTGCTTCTGCCCTCACATGAGAAACCAGCTCAGCTGTCTCTAAACCTCAGCGTTCCTTACTGTAAAGGAACAGGGTCAACTGGGGTGCTCAGCACTGACCTACCACATTTTTCTTTGGGCCTCAATTCTCTCATTCACAAAAATATTGCCAATTCAAGAGATATACACTATATTCAGAAAATTAGGGGGGAAATTAAGATGGTTGAGCACTTTCTAAAAAAAAAATCGTTGAAAGAAGCAAGCAGTAAACAGTTCTGATCAAAGTAGTTAAGATTCCATCTGTTCTGCTGGCCCTGGGTGGGCAGGGGTGGGGCCTAGACAGGGAAGGACCAGCACTCACAGCAGCTGCAGCTGGTCCTGCCTCCGAATGAGAGCGTTCTTCTTGTTGACCAGTGTGAACCACTCCTGGATCAGCACCTCCTCCTGCAGCCTGTTGGCACCTAATTGGGCCAAGCCAGTCACCAGGCCTGCCACCAACACCTGTGTCAGGAGTAGGGAGGCTGGGGAGGGGGAGAGGTGTCTTGTTCCCTTGTGGCATCCCAGAAGCCAGAGCTGTGTGCCTCAGCGTGCCTCCTCCAGCCTTGGCTCCACCCAACTCTTCCCAGGGTCAGAAAGAGCTGCAGGGCAGGGCAGATCTGGCAGCATGTGTGAGGGAGTGGACTCCAGATGCCTGCCCCACCTGACTCCATGAGGCTCCTCAGCTGCGTCTCCACCTCGGCTGCCCGCCCATCTATCTGCCTCTGCTCCTGCTCCAGGGCCTGTAGCTCTGCGCACACGTACTGACTTGTATCCTGGAACCGTTGCTGGGTTGGAGAGAGGGGGCAGAGGACAGGGTGGGCTCAGCCCAGGCCCCACCTAGGAAGCCCACCTATCAGCCCCTCCCACCTCAGCCCTGCTTACCAGCCCAGCCTCCTCCCCTGGGCTTGGGGGCGGTTCCTCTGATGTCCCACCTGTAGAAAGAGACAAGGCTAAGGGACCCCCAACTGACACCTGCCCCCAGAAGGTCCCCGGCTCAGCAACTGTGTGCAGCCTGAGTTGAGATGAGTCACCATCCCTTCAAAACTACTCACCTGGGGGCTGCTGTGGGGCTGTGGCTGTGGGTGGGCCAGGGGCAGGGCTGGGGTCAGGGCTCATGCCTTCCTGTAGAGGAAGAGGCCAGTAAGGGCTTGGAGGGGCTCCCCGAGAGCCCACCCTGGGGCCAGCCAGAGCCTTGCACACACAGGGCAGAGGGTCCTCAATTCCAGGCCCTGCCCACCTCAGCAGCTTCTCCAGTCCTGCAAGTACAGAACTCCACTACCACCCGCTCTGGGAAAAGTGCCTCCTCCAGCAAAGGCCACAGCCTTCACCGTCCCAGGCCCTGTGGTCCTGGGCCAGTCCACTCCCACTCCCTGGGGAGTTCCGGGGGCCTCACAGGGCATTTGTGAGGGTGAAACTCTGTGGTGGGCCCACCTGGGGGCCTCTCTTCCCTCACGCCCCCTCCTCCATGTTGCTCCCTCAGGCCACCTCAGACTCCATCACCGACTGCTGGCATCTCCATCAGGGCCAGGGCCTCACACAGCAACACTGACCTGACCTGGTGTGGTCGTCGTTAAGCCAGTACCTCTACCTCCTGAACAAAACGGAGCACCCTTCTGCCTGACCAATTCCCATACCTAGAGAATGCTGCGCTCTTCACAAAACACTCGGAACAGGACAGGTGGCTGGATCTACCAATTGTAGCCTAGAAGGGCAGGGCTGGCCCCTCATGTGTTCTGCCCCTGGCAACTTGCTGAGACTGTCAGCCCTACAGGCCCCCAACTTTCAGCTCAGCTGATAACCTGGCCCCCTTGATAGCTCCTGCTCTGGCCACCTCTCAATGTCACCAGGTGGGAAGAAGGGGTTAAGCCACCTCACTGTCCACTCTACTCTGCACCTCCCTGAGTGGCAGTCCACTCAGATGCCATCCTCTCTGGCCTGGGTCAGTGGCGGCCTCTCCACCAGCCAACACCCACGCCCTGCCTGTTGACTTCATCCTCAAGCCACAACTGAGGGATCTCCCTAAAACCTTCACCCCTCAATGGTGTCACTCTCTCCCCACCCCACCTCAGCCCTCAGCCTCCTTGCCAAGGCCTGTTGGCAGCTCCAGTCCCAACTCCTACTGCCCTGAGCCCTACCCAGATGCCACCCTCTGGCCACAGTGATGGACTTTCGCTTCCCCAAATCATTTCCTCAGCCTGGAGCCAGCCTCTGTCTTGGGCAACTGGACACCCACTCAACCTTCATGACCCAGCTCAGCCCCACCTCCTCCAGAGGCCCCTTCACACAGTTTTCTTCCTTCCTGACTTTCATGCCTCCTGAAGCTTCCTTGACCCCCAGGTTGGGCAGATACTCCCACACCACGGTGCCCGAGACTTCTCCCATCACAGATGTGACCCCACGGCTGCTGGGTACCCAGGTCTACTCAACCAGAGGCAGCCCCTGTGTACAGGATGGGGTCCAAAGGATGCACTCAGGGTACACCGGATAACAATTATGGCTGATGTCCAGTAAACATTTATTTGTGTGGGGGGCACTGTGTATGCACTGACTTATTTAGTTCTCCCAACAACACTGTGAGGCAGGGATGAGTACCACCCCCACTTTACAGATGAGGAAACGGAGAGTCAGAGGTGACACTCATACAGGGCCTGGCTTATGCCCAGGGCTGTCTGATCCAAAGGTTTATTCCCTAGTTTAGCCACTGATTTGCTGTTTCCTCGGGCCAGTCACACACACTGGGCCTGTTTGTGTCCTTGTACGTAAAATGGGGAGAAATTCCAGCCCCATGTAAGATGGGGGTTGCTGGGCTCCAGAAAGGCATGTGGGGGAAAACATAGCTCCCCTTTTTTTGACAGCACCCTACAGTGGTGCCTCAACGACACTTTGCAGAGAACTTTTATGCCTTTGCTTCTCTCAGGAAAAGAAAATAGAGATTAAGTGGCTTGTCCAGGGTCACACAGCCAGTTAAGAGTGCTCAGCCCAGTAGAGGGCGCCATGTTAGAGCTGAGCCTCAAAACCCAGGTTCACATGTGTATCAACTCCCTTTGTCTCTTTCTTCGTCTCCCTGAGCCTCAACATTTCCACTTACAAAATGGGGTAACTGTTCCTCCCCAAAAAGGGCATCGTAGGAGTTGGTGAGGAGTTGATGAGGGGCTATGGGGCCAGGCACACAGCAAGTGCTCAACCGACAGGGCAGGCAGGGGGAGGAGAATGGAGAAACCCCAATCTCAGCAGCAACTAAGCTTACTCATGCCAACCCTGATGGGAACTCCAATGCTTCCTCACATCTGACCCAAATTCCCCTTTCTACACCCTCATGTGTGGCCCCTCCTCCAGGAAGCCTTGCTGGGCTGCACCAGAGGCAGGCATCCTGCCCTCCTCATGGCATTGCTTCACCCCTCCTCAGTTTCAAGGTGCCTGACTTCGTTGCATTCAGAACTTTGGGAGCTCGCAAGGCCGGGGAAGGTCCTACCTCCTCCCATTGCACACAGGAGGATGCGATGTGAGTGGCCAATGCGGAGGAGTCCCCTCCAGTCCCAAGGGTTAAATATCTCCTGTGGGACAAGGGCTGGAGGAGGGCCTGGCTTGGAAGGGCCAGGTGCTGGGACTTAGGCCCAGAAGGATGAAGCCTCCCCTTTTAAGATATAAAAAGCCATTGACACACATTAAGGGGGCTTTGGTCAAAGACCAACAGACAGGCCGAGGATAGCTGTCTAACACACCTGCTGTGGGTGCCTTCAGTGCCCTCCCTGTTTCTCATTCATAGTCTCAGTGCTGCACTTCAGACCCTGCACTCAAGGCTCCTGCTCTCCTGGCCAGCCACATCACTGCCTGCGGACCTTACGGGATGTGACTGGCACTTTCCTAAACAAGACCTGAGCTTTCCTGCTGCCACTTTTATGCTTGGGAGGTCCTGCCTCTTGAGAACCCCCCCACCGATTCTTCACCTGGGAAAAGCTGCCCATCTTATCAGCCTGGCTCAAATGGCTGCCTCTTCCACAAAGACTTTCCTTAGAACTCAGGGGTCATCCCTGCACAGCTGAAGGCTTGGAGTGGCCCAACAGAGCTGCCCCTGCTGTCCAAGACGGTGCAGCTGGAAAGCACATGGCCTGGACTTCAGTGACTGTGAGTCCTTAAGCAAATCCCTGCCCTCTCTGGGACCACCTCCCCTTCAGTGCAGTACAAGACACCCTGGGAGACTGACCGGAGACCTGCAAGGGATCGGGGGAAATGGGTACCCAGCAGGGTCTCCCATCTCCAACCTTCCATTATCAGAGAAGAGAGAAAACTAGCCTCTAGTATCTGGAGTTAAAGATTCAAATCAGAGACTCTTGCGGTTGGGAGGCTCCAGAGAGCTCCCTTGAGTATAGAAACCCTGCTCCCAGTTTACAGGGAAGCTGGCTGACCCCCCGCCACCTGCGGAGAAAGAAATGCCCCCAACCCATTTTCTAGTTCATAAAGAGCTCTACGCTGGGTGCCAGCTACACAGAGCCTTGTGGGAACTTTTCACTAACTGGGTGCCAAGCCTTTAAAAGCACTAGCATATGCCCCAAGGTTGGCAACAAAGTCGGGCCCCCGCCCCAGGAGCGGCTCTGAGCCAGGCAGGTCTGTGTGCCCCGAGATGAGGAGCTCGCTAGCTACCTCGTCCTCGCGGAGGGCTCGTCTGCCGCACGGGTCCCTCCAATCAAAAAGCGCCTCCCCGCGTCCAGCGGAGGCCTCCCCCAACCCCGCGCACTAGCTCAGCCTGCGGCTCCCGGACCCCCGCGCCTCAGGAGGGCACTCACCGCTGCCGCTCCGCCAGCTCCCGGGGCTCCCGAGTCCGGATCGTCCACAGAGAAGGAGTTGCTGTTCCGCAGCCTCGAGCGCCTCTTCTTCAGCAGGTCTGCGTCGCGCACGTGAGAGAAGGAGCCATGCGC